AGGAAGTGTGAGGTGAAAATGCCAGCATGCTCTTTGACATAGAAGCTCAATCTGTGTGCCAGTATAGCACATGAATGTGAGTTTGCTTTACAAATGTAAAAATGGTGTGTGCAGTGTGTTTGACCTCTCTAACTTTACAAGGCGGTGGGAGCAGAAGCAAGAGAGTCAGCCTCAGCCACCCAAGACTGATTCCAGTGTGGCAGCTGTCAGGTGAACCTCCATCCTCCAGTGTTACCAATTCTGGCACTAACCGTCCCTCCCAGGGCATGCTCTGCTTCTCTGCTGGGTTCAATAATTCCTTATACCGGCCAAACAGAATTCACACAGTATTCAACGCTGATGGGGTTTAGAGAATTCACAGGTTAGAATTCAGGATCAGAAATAATGCAAGATACAGTTCTTTGATCAGGACAGCCTCTTCTAAACAGTGTCCACAGACATGTCTCTCTCTGACCTTCTGAGGCCTTTGGCCTCTTCACTGCTTGGGCAAGTATTAACCAAGTTCTTTTAGTCCTGCTAATTAAGTGCCAGCTAATGCTCTGTGGGCCAGCAAACAGCTTACCAAGTGCCTGGAGGCACCCCAGTGTGTCATTCAGCAAGTCTCTTACCTGACACACTGAACTCTCTGTGGACCTAACATCCCACTGTCTCCTGCTGCCACTGTCTCTTTGCTATTTTTTGTTGTCTCTAGTGCCACAGCTCTGGTCCTGGATTGAAGAGGTTCAACACAGGGATCTCGGGTCCAAAGGATATGCTCTACTCCTGGCTTTTCTCTCTCGATGGGTGTGAGAGTCCCCTTTCCAGCTTCCGGAATGGTTCATTTTAAGTTTATATGACTGTATGGAGTACTGGTATGGTGTTGTAGGATAAGACCTAGACCAAAAGGTTGGTTTCAGCCACAGGGTCTGTGGTTTAGTCTCACCACCTGCTCCTTGGAAACCCTAATCAGGGTTGCTATCAGTGGGAGCCAACTTCATGGTTAACACTAAACAGCAGTATGGCAGTACTGACCAGTTCCTATGTTAGGGTTTCATATACCTCATTTGCATGGCTCTAGTAGCATATTGGTTACGAATTGGGCTGCTGACCTCAAGGTTAGCAATTCGAAACTACCAGTGGTTCTGTGGGAGAAAGATGAGACTTTCTGCTCCTGTAAAGATTTACAGTCTCAGAAATCCTATGCAGGTTCACTATGAGTAGGGACCCATGCCACGGCATGTGATCACCACCAGCCCCAGAAGGATGCCACGTCCCTTGTTGACATTATTAGCAAGCTATCAAATCCCCTTGATGGGCCACTATGCAGAATCGTACCCATTCATTTGGTGTCCTGGTGTGGCATTAAAGAATAAGCACTGGACTACTAACTGAAAGGTTGGTGGTTCAAACCCATCAGCTGCTCCTTGGAAACCCTATACAGGATCGCTATGAGTCATAACTGACTAGATGGCACTTAACAACAACAACCCAGTCATTTGATTGGAATGACAAAGACAGTATTAAGAGGGCCATCTTAAGTAATTCAACAGGACCATAACTGGTAGAATCCTGGTGTGGCGCTGTGGGTTAATGCCCTGGACTTGCAAAGTCGGTTTAAACTGCAAGATTGGAGGTTCAAGCTTATCAGCTGCCCCTCAGAAACCCTGTACAGGGTCTCTTTAATTCGGAACCGACTGGATGACAATTAACAACAAACAACATAACTGATAACTTAAAAAAGAGCAAGTAGAATGCTTCTCGGGAAGTGTTTACCATCTGCCAGAATGTCTGGTGCCATCAGGTTTGGCATGGTGGGCTTTTTCTGAATTGAAGCACCATGTTGTCTTTCCTTTCCTGTTCAGGAATAACTTCGTTCAGTGTGGCGCTTTATGCTGAAATGCTGAGGCCTGTTTAGGTGCTTTTCTATAAAATGATGGAATGCTTGAAAATACTATTAGCTTTCTAATATAAAAGATGAATTTAGATACAGATCAGGCATGTCATGATCTCTCTAGACTTGTCTCACCCATCTCCTTATTGTACTTTATCCTCAGTCATATTACTCATTAGAAGTTGTCACCTTAAGTTCACACAAACATGTTCCCCCACCACCGCCCAACACACACACAGACATGCACCTGGAAAACACATAGTCGCTCTTTAGATGTACGTTCAAAGGGCACTTTCTCTAGGGAACGTACCCTAACTTATTTCCTCTACTTTTATTTCCAATATATCTGGACCAGTTGCTCCTGTCCTGGGTTCCCACGGGTGCTTTACTTCTCCCTTTGTAACTAACTATATTGTTTGTTAAAGACTTGCTGAGTATGCTATTCAGTAGATTGTAAACTGTTCAAGAAATACAAGTCATCATTCTTATTCATAACCGTAACCCTGGTACATAGCATGGAGTCTGTCATATAATAGATTATCAGTCAATATTTGTGGAGTTGAACTGAATTTGAATCATCTTGTCTATTTATTTTAAAATGCTCTTTAAATTCATCTTTATTTTATGCAGGTTTGGAAGTCAAACATTTTCCAATAAAACGATAAAAGTGCACTTTAAAAAAAACAAACCGGTCTTCATAAGAGGCACCTTTTTTAACCATTAGTGTTAAGTGCTGTTGAGATGGCTCTGATTCATAGTGACCCTGTATAGGGTTTCTGAGGATCAGCCGGTGGGTTTGAACCGCTGACCTTGCTATTAGTAGCGCAGTACTTATTCTACAGCACTATACCAGGACTCCTGTCATATGTAGCAGGTTAGCTAATTACTGTAAAAGAATCAAAGCAACTACTTTGACCAACAGTGAATACATAAGTACTAAAAAGCCCCTACTAGACTATAGGAGTCCTGGTGTGGCGCTGTAGGTTAAGCACTGAAATGTGAATTGTTAGGTTGATGGTTCAAATCCACCAGCCTCTCCTCAGAAACCCTAGACAAGATTGCTATGAGTTGGAAATGACTCGAGAGTACCTAATAATGACAACAACAAGTAGACTCAGCTCTGTAAAAGGCAGGTATCATGGAGTCTTCAATTTAGAATCTCCATGCATCTTATGTGGTGCCTTGTTGTTGTGGTTAAGTGCCATCGAGTCAGTTCTGACCCATAGGATAATAAGCACATATGCTGAACTCATTCTGTGTTAAATGCTATTAAATGTGAATTACTGGAAAAGTTACAAATCTTTTTTTGTTGTAAAATTTTCTTTAATACTGCGTTCTACTTTTGAAGTCCAGGTTCTAACTATTCTTCCTAGTTGTTAAGTGCTATTGAGTCTTTCCAACTCATAGCAACCCTGTTGTTATTGTTGTTAAGTGCCCTGGAGCAACCCTAGTAGAACAGTTTAAATGCTAACTATATATCAAAGTTCAGAAGAATGAACAACTTAGTTTTAGAAGAAATACAACCAGAATGCGTGTCAGAAGTGAGCATGGTAAGACTTTCAAAAATCTCACTTTGGATGTACCTTCAGGAAAGACTTATTTCTGACATTTGGTAAAGTAGAGGGTCATCAAAGATGAGGAAAACTCAGTGTGATGGGTTGATACAGTATCCTCAACAGTGGGCTCAAATATATCAGATCATGGAAAGCGTGTAAGCCAACTTGATGGCAACTAAAAAACCTGCTAAGTACATTTACTGATAAGGTATTTTGTTATCTAGAGGATTTCAAAAGGTAATATCCTCTGGAGTATGCAGTCTTAAAGGGAGGCAATCCATCCCCCACAAGGGGAGTGGAAATTCTTCACTATTATTAGGGTTATGTTCCTCCAAAAGGACCACGGTACATACATAGATGTGCATTGTATCTGTGGTGATTAAACTTCAATTTAAGGGTTGGTGATTAGGGAAAAGTAAGTTTTAACACCCCGTTATTGTTATTAGCTGTTGTGGAGTTGTCCCCTGAGTCATTGTGACTCCATGCACAATGGAGTAAAATGCTGTCTGGTCCTGCACTCATAGGTTTTCATTGGATGATTTTCAGAAGTAGTCTGGAAGTTCTGCTAAAACCTGTTAGCATCATAGCAGTGAACAGGCTTCCTTCCACTGACAGATGGGTAATTACTATGCATAAGGTATAATACCTGGGAATTGAACCTAAGTCTCCTGTATGGAAGTTGGGAATTCAACCATTGAATTACCACTGCCCCCAACACTACATTAAAGAGATGCCATTGAGGGGTAGGGGTGGGCAGGGAACTGAAAACACTGTTTTAGATATAGTATAGATTTGTAATTCTTTTTTGGCATATTTGTGTGTCTTCTAAATGAATTATCTATGTCATTACAGGATTCCATTATACCCATTTCTTTTTCAGTTAATCAATGAAATTTGGGTTGCTTATTTTTGTGGATGTATACCAAAGCTTATTCAAAGGTGGTTGCTGCTGTTGACTGCTGTTGAGTCGGTTCTGACCCATAGTAACCCTGTTTAGAGTTTCTGAGGAGAGGCTAGTGAGCTTGAATCGCTGACCTTATGGTTCAAACTGAATTTGCAATCCAGAGCATTAACCACAGCACACCTCCAGGACTCCTGGGCTGAGTCTTAAAATTTGAAAAATTTCATTAATGCAATCTATTACCTTTACTCGGACTGCAAGATCAGTTTGAACCACAAGGTTGGAGGTTCAAATCCACCAGTCACTCTTTGGAAACCGTATACAAGATTTCTTCTGAGTCAGAACAGACTCTGTCACTTAATGACAACATTACCTTTATTCAGAATATGATGCATTTGACCTCTAGAAAGGAGCTCTGGTAGCGTAGTGGTTACGAATCGGGCTGTGAACCTTAAGGTCAGCAGTTCGAAACTACCAGCCGCTCCGCAGGAGAAAGATGAGGCCTTCTACTCCCGTAAAGATTTACACCCTCGGAAACCCTGTACAGGGTGGCTATGGGTCGGAACCGACTCAATGGCACTTAACAACAACAACAACAAGTAGCTCCCAAAGACTGTTTGTAGGATATTTTTTAAATTAATGATGCTCACTATTCTTTCGTTTGTTTTCAAAGATTCAAAATGAGGACAAAAGGAACCATGCTGAAAAGCCAATCACTCCTCCAGTGCAAGAAGATTCCAAAAAGCCAAGTGATCTTTCCAGCTCTGCTTCCGATACCAAAATAGGAGAAGGCGATAGACAGCCTAAAGAAAGCTTTTTCCAGTTTCTTGGTAACCTCTTCAATATCTCAGGAAAATCATCTCTTGGTGAAACCAAACAGTCTTCTTTCAAAGATGACCATGACAAAACTGAGAAAGATTTACCAAATCACAGTGACTCTCCTGAGGAAGGGGTCAAAAGGGAGAAGGAGATTATCAGCAGCTCCATTGGAGCTCAGCCGCTTCCAACAGAAGAACAGGATTCCAACTCAACTGATCCCTCAGATGCTTTTTCTTTGGATACAACACAAGACAGTGAACAGGAAGCTAGTGATTTGCTAAAGTAAGCTTAAAATTTAATTGAAAATTTAAAATATCAACTTTTTTGGGTCTTAGTTTCAATCTTCTTAATTGAAGAAGTTGGAGAAAGCAGTCTTTAATGTTCCTACTAAGCCAATTGCTGTTGAATTGATTCCCATGCATGGAGACTCCATGCTTTTCAAAGTAGATCTGTGCTGTATAGGGTTTTCAATGATTGATTTTTCAGAAGTAGTTTGGTAAATATTTCTACCAAGTCTTGTCAGGATGGCCTCAAACCTCCAATGGGTTGGTTAGCACATTACCCATTTGCACTGCCCAGGGACTCTGTAACATTTACTATAGTCTGAAAAATCATGTTACTGTTTACCATATGGGTAATGTGTGCCCTTTTTACCTGTTTTAGGGATCAGTACTGATGCCTGTTAAGGTTGCGGTAGTACACGATTTATTTCTACTTGAAGACTTCTTTGATTGAGAATGCTGTGTTTTGTCTGAATTCCTCCTGTATTTGGACATTTCATGTGCGCTCAGTATATACATTTTGGGTACAAAAATGGTCCTGAGTTTTGTATTCTCTTTGTGGAATTAAGTTAAAATGGTTTAAAAATGAAATAGATTATATTCATGAAGCTAGCCTTAATAACTTACCCTACAACTCTAAGAAATTGAAATCTTACATGAATTAAGGAGACAGTCCACCCTTTCTCTCTTTTTGATTAGCAAACAGGCTCAAACTTGTTTTATCATTTCCTCAAATGAGTTAGAAGGAATATCTCGTACTTGAGAAATAGATATTGCAGTGTTGAGCCCATTAAACATCTTATATAACATAAAAGGATTCATTCATTCTGTTTTATTGATTTTAATTTTACCTCTGCCTGAGAATTTACTGTTTGAAGAGGCTATCAGTAATACTGTAGTCAGGATATAGATAACTTATAATCATATAGTTCTTTATGATTTTAAAAGTGTCTTCATGTGTGCTTTCAGTTAATTAACTCATAGTAAGCTTGTGAGATAGGTACAGACCCATGTTACAGTTGTGAGAAATGTAATGCAGATACTTGAGAGTTTTGCCTGTCAAGGATGATTTAGTGGGGACTTGCTTTACAGCCCATGGCCATCGAGTCACTTCTGACTCATGCTGACCCTATAGGACAGGGTAGAACTGACTCATGTGTTTACCAAGGTTGTAGCTCTTTATGGAATTATACTGCCACATCTTTCTCCCAAGAAGCAGCTGTTGGATTCAAACTACAGACCTTAAGCTTGGCAGCCAAACACTTTTAACCACTGTACCACAAGCATTCCTTGCTCTACCAGATGTTGACATGTACTGGTAAAGCTACAGTAATTGAAACAGTGTAATTTGGATATAATATTTACTAGATAGTGTGGCGCTGTGGGCTAACGCGCTGGACTGCAAAGCCGTTTGAACTGCAAGGTCGGTGGTTCAAGCTTACCAGCTGCTCCTCGGAAACCCTATACAGGGTTGCTATGGGTCGGAATCAACTCGATGGCACTTAACAACAACAACAACAGAATAGGCAGTCTAGAAAAAGACCTTTTTATATTTAGGAAGTGAACACTTGGATGTGATGCATTGCATGTTCTTATAGGAAGGAAAATTTGTTAGGGGAATTGGTTAACAATTTGGAGGAAAAAATATAAAGCTTATACTTAACTCAAACCTACAGCACTAAAAAGAGTTGTATGTGAATTGTTATTTTAGTGACAGATGATTTTTCTCAGTCTAATAGGATTGGGAGATATCAAAGAAGAGAAGATTGCCAGATTGGGTATCTCCCAATTTTCAAACCCCCATATGTAAACAACATAAGCAAAGATAAGTTAAATTGTCAAATGGGAACTACATGCAAAAAAATGACAGAAAAAATGTTTTAACTGGATGATTCAAATAAAAGAAATATTAATTGCTAGTAAAAAAAAAAAAAGGATAAAAAGTTATCCTCAATAGAAATTAAATCATGGTGTGGTTCTGTAGAATAAGCCCTGAACTTCTAGCTGCAAGATCAGTGGTTCATACCCACCAGATGCTTTGTAGAAACCATATACAGGGTCATTATGAGTTGGAATGAACTCCATGGCACTTAAAACAGAAATCAAGGAAATGCAAACTAAAATGAAGATTTTTTTTTTTTCATCCTCTTGAAATTGATGACATGGTAAGAAGTGATAACTGATTAATAAGACTAGCTCTCATATATACTCTAGGACTAGGAGTAGGGGTTGTAACTTGATTGTTGTT